TGTGTTTCTCTCTTTCTGCTGCAATGACCCTAAACCCTAAACCATTAAACCCTAAACCCTAAACCCTAAACCCTAGGCCTCCGCTGTGTCTTTGAGTCTGTCTCTTCTGCTGCTGCTAGAACGCTGCTTTCTCTGCCGGTTCTAGGGTTTAGGGTTTAGGTTTTAGTGTGAAGGGTTTGGTGTTGAGGGTTTAGGGTTTAGTGAGGGTTTAGGGTTTAGGGTTTAGGGTTTATGTGTGTGTTCAGTATCAGCAGAATCAGGCTTTAGTGTGTGCTGTTGAGGAGCTGCAGCAGCAGCTGCAGCAGCTGCAGCAGCAGCAGCAGGAGACAGAGCAGCAGGAAGATACATTGATGCCATCAGCAGCAGCAGCAGCAGCAGCAGCAGCAGCAGCAGCAGGAGACAAAGCACTGCTGCAAGCAAAAGAAACAGAAATAGAGATACAAAAAATAAAATATAAAAACGAAATAAATAAAATACAAACAAAACACCAGCAGCAAATCATACAGCTGGAGATGGCTCACGAACAACAAATCAATGTAAGCAGCAGCAGCAGCAGCAGCAGCAGCAGCAGCAGCAGCAGCAAGAGCGGCAGCAGCAGCAGCAGCAGCAGTAGCAGCAGCAGCAGCAATAGCTTGTGTTGTCCATCTAGTTGCAGCAACTCATACTCTTTCCTGCTTCTGCTGCTGCTGCTGCTGTTGCTGCTGCTGCTTCTGCTGCTGCTGTTTTTGCCTGCTGCTTCTGCTATTGCTTCTTCTGTTGCTTCTGCTGCTGCTGCTGCTGCTGCTGCTGCTGCTGCAGGCCCTGGAGCATCGTTATAAGATAGCAGCAGCAGAAGCAGAAGCAGCAGCAGCGCAGCAGCTAGCAGCAATGAGCGAAGAAATAAATAAACTAAGATGTCTCCACCATCAACAAATTAAACTACAAACAGAACAACAAGCTGCTGGTATTTCTGCTGCTGCTGCTGCTGCTGCTGCTCCTGCTGCTGCTGCTACTGCTGCTGCTGGTGCTGGTGCTGCTGCTGCTGCTGCTAGTGCTGCTGCTGCTGCTGCTGCTGTTGTTGTTGTTGCTGTTGTTGCTGTTTTTGTTGTTGTAGTTGTTGCTGCTGCTGCAACAGGTGTTGCTGCTGCTGCTGATACTGTCGTGCTGCTGCTGCTGCCTGTGCTTCTCCTGCTGCTCCTACTACTACTGCCGTTGCTGCTGCTGCCCCTGCTGCTCCTGCTGCTACTGCTATTGCTGCTGCTGCTGCTGCTGCTGCTGCTGCTGCTGCAGGTTTGCTGCAGCCCGGGATCGAAAGTGTATTGAATGAGCTGAAGGAGGCGCGGGGGCAGCTGCAGCAGCAGCAGCAGCAGCACGAAGCAGAGCTGCAGCAGCAGCAGCAGCAGTTTGCTGCTGATCTGCAGGAGCTGCAGCAGCGGTTTATGCAGCAGCAGCAGCAGCAGCAGCAGCAGCAGCAACTGCTGCTCAGAATGAGAGAAACAGAACTAAAAGCAGAAATAGAAAAAAAGGAAAAACAAAATAAAGAAA